CAAGCATTGAACTTTTGTAATCTGTGTCCAAATGTTTTCTAAATGGAAATAACAACTCCACTGTCTATTGACAATATTGAGCAAAGTGATAATAATTGTAGTGAAGCAAGTATTTTCTTTGACAACGGAACATCTATAACATGATCTTTGCCAACATATAAGTTTTTAACCTGTTCACAAAGCAAACTTGTCTATTAAAAGATCAAAACCACAAAATAAACTTGTAGGTGTTAGTAATCTCAAAAAAACTAAATACAAATCTACTATTAAGTAAAACTTAAAAAGTATTAATAAACAATCAGGCTTGACTTAAAAAGCTGCAAAATTATAATACATCAAACCTAAGGCGTTAAGGATAATCATGAAAAATTTCGAAGGGTAGATAATTTAAACTCATCTGTGTAACTGTGTAAGAGTATTGTTTTTCTACTTTTTTCAACTCCACCGTCCTCTGCTTCCTCTTCTTTCCTGTTTCTTTTTGCACTATAAAAATCTTTATTCTTTTAATGAAAAATCCATGACCTAAAAAAACTTTACACAAATGTATGTGTCATCAACTAATCACAAAACTAGACTTGGAAATGTCTTCAGGTTAATATATAAAGGCATCTCCTTTCCATATTTTCCTTTCTTCTACGCCCTCTATTTCAAATTGATTGTCTCGTTTTGACTCGATAAGAAATTTAAAAAAGTTATTTTTTTTTGAATTTTAGAATCTTAAATTAAAGATAGATGTAATGTACCAAAAAGGGAAAGAGACATTTTTTTTTGAAATAGATTAAAAAAAATATAAGACAAACAAATTAAAAGGAATGAGTATAAGTTATTACATACCCTCACAGGTAAAAATTTATGGTACAATAAAATAAAGCAATAACAAATAAGTGAAATATGCAAAAATCTACTGAATATTGTCATTATTGTTTTATTGCGTCCACTTTGAAAACATGCTAGAACTTCCTGCACCAAATATTCACAAATAAGTAGCAGCTGCACCACCAATAAAATGACCTACTAAAACATGTACTAAGAATACCTAAAAATTTATCATAATCTGATGCCTTTTACACTTAAGTAGACAATATGCTCTATCATCCTTTCATGTTCCTAATCAAACCTCCAATATGGTCATCAAAATCAAATGTCACGACATATGTCTCTTCAAATAAGGAGTAATATTATGAATAAATAAGTAACCAATAAAATTATAATCCATCAATTACTCACCATAAAGTCGGGAAAAAAACTTATTGTAAAACTTAAAGGTAACAAAAGTTCAATGACAATGTTTGATTCTTGAAATGGAAGGGTCAAATTTTTTCCTTCATCAAATCCAGAGAAGTCATACCTTAAAAAGATACACTTTTGCAGCATAACCGACAAATTCTTTTTGAAGCAATTCACATGATTTTTCTATGACCATTTCATCGAACATCAAAAGTAATTTTTTCC